GAACCATCTTTAAACCAGGCACAGATTTTCTCTTAATCAACTGATCGTAAGGAATTCCCCATGAGGCCATAGGTGCAGACTGGGAGAGAGAAGGTAATGTGACAGGAGTGGAGACCATGGGCATTTTAGCCACTTCCTCATGTAACACTTGTGCCTTCAGGTTCTGCTTGAGCCCAATCTCATAATACCACTTTCATTTAATGATGGAATGCTGCTTTGCACATTCAACTTTATGACTCCATGGGTCAGACAATGCCCAGTTCATGATGGGCAGTTCAGGCTGCACAGTGACTTGGTTGCCCATGGCTAAGCTTTTAGGCTCTACTAAGGCCCAGTGGCACAGTGGTTAAGTGTTAAGCTGCTAATGAAAAGGTCGGCAGTTCGAATCCACCAGCTGCTCCTTGGAAACCCTATGGGGCAGTTCTACTCTGTCCTGTAGGGTCGCTGTGAGTTGGAATTGACTTGATGGCAGTGGGTTTGGTTATTGGTTTTTAAGGCCCAGTAACAAACCAAAAACTCTTTCTCAAAAGGAGAGTAGTTACTTGTAGAGGATGTCCAGGCTTTGCTGCAACATCTTAAGGGTTTGCACTGTGATTCACCAACGCAGCATCACCAAATAGCATCTCTTTCTGCCACCGACACTTCAAGCACCATGGGATCAGCTGGATCACATGGTCCAAGTGGCAGAGCAACATGCACAGCAGCCTGAATCTGTTGCACAGCCTTCTCTTGTTCTGGGTCCCACTCAAAACTAGTAGCTTTTTGTGTCACTTGATAAATAGGCTGCAATAGCACCCCCAAATGAGGGATATGTTGCCTCCAAAAACCAAAGAGGCCCACCAGGCATTGTGCCTCCTTTTCAGTTGTAGGAGGGGCCAGGTGCAACAACTTACCCTTCACTTTAGAAGGAATATCTTGACATGTCCCACACCACCGTACCCCTAGAAATTTCACTGAGGTGGAAGGCTCCTGAATTTTTGTTGGGTTGATTTTCCATCCTCTAGCACACAAATGTCTAAGTCTAGAAACATTGCTACTTCTTTACTAGGTCTAGTCAGCATAATGTTGTCAGTGTAATGAACCAGTGTGACATCTTGTAGAAGGGAAAGGCGATCAAGTTCATTTCAGACTAAATTATGACATAGGCTTGGAGAGTTGATACACCTCTGAGGTAGGACACTGAAAGTGTATTGCTGGCCTTGCCAGCTGAAGGCAAACTGCTTCTGATGATCCTTCTAAACAGGTACGGAGCAAAAGGCATTAACCAGATCAATAGCTGCATACCAGGTACAAGGAGATGTATTAATTTGCTCAAGCAATGAAACCATATCTGGAACAGCAGCTGCAATTGAAGTCACCACCTGCTTAAGTTTTCATTAATCTGCTGTCATTCTCTAAGATCTATCTGATTTTTTGCACAGGCCAAATAGGTGAGTTGAACGGGGATATGGTGGGAATCACCACCTTTCCATTCTTCAAGTCCTTGATGGTGGCAGTAATCTCTGTAGTCCCTCCAGGAATGTGGGATTCCTTTTTGTTTACTATTTTCCTAGATAGGGGCAGTTTTAATGGCTTCCACTTGACTTTCCCTACCATAATAGCCTTTACTCCACATGTCAGGGATCCAGTGTGGACATTCTGCCAATTGATGAGTATGTCTATTACAATTACGCATTCTGGAACTGGGGAAGTCACTACAGGATGGTTCAGGGACCCACTGGGCCCACTGACCTGAGCTAAGACTCCATTAATAACCTGACCTCCATACACCCCTACTCCGGTGGGCCACAGTGACATTTTGGATCTCCTGGAATTAGTGTCAGTTCAGAGCCAGTGTCCAGTAATCCCTGAAAAGTCTGATTATTTCCTTTTCCCCAGTGAACATTCACTCTCATAAAAGGCCATAGATCCCTTTGGGGAAGGCTGGGACAAAGATTTACAGGACAAATTTTTGGCAATGCAGTAAGCAGTAAGATCCTTCCTTAAGGGGACATGGCCTACCCTTCATTTAAGGGGTTGTGGGTCTGTAATCTGGCTGAGTCTGGGAATTGATTGAGGGTCCGTGACTCTATTCTGGAGATTCAAGTTAGACTGCCATTCACTTGACCTAGGATTCTTCTGCTTGTACAGATCAAGTAAATATTTAGTAAATGTCCCATCTATTTCAGTCCTAGGGACTCCATGACTAAGTAGCCACTACCATAAGTCCATACAAGTCAGACTATTCTGATTACTGTTTTGACTCTGCTGTCCATTACTGTAACCATATCCACCTTGCCTTTGTTAAGTGCAGCAATTTGGGCCCTACCACCAAGAGGTCCAGTCAGCCCCATTGTAGTTAGGTGTCTTAATTCATTTAGGGCAGTTCCCACTGTCACATCTGACTTAAATAGCAATCATAGCAGTCTTCAAGAATGCTGGGGCTCCCTTCACAAATTTGTTCCTCACTGTTGTGGTAAAAGGTGTATCTTCTGGGCACTCCATGGGTGGTTCAGTGGGTCCAACCTGATAAATCCACTCCAATGTGCCAATTTCCTAAGCCTTTGGTTACCTTCTTCTATATACCAAGGCAGGTCTGGCATTTCAACTTGATTTAGTGTAGGCCATCACTTAATCCATGCTTCAGTGAACTAACCAAATTATTAGATCCTTTTCTGACCTCTCAAGCTGAAACATTGAATGAAGAATCTGTGCTTAGTGGGCCCATATCAATAAACTCAGAGTGATCCACTTTATATTCCTTGCACCATTATCCCACACCCTTAATAGCCATTCCTACACATAGTCGCTAGATTTCTGTTTGTACCTGTTAGAAAAACCAGGCAGTTCTTTTGGAGTCTAGCACACCTCCTCCTGGGTCACACTTTGTACTTCACCTCTTGGGTCTTGGTGGAACTTTAGTTACAGGTCTAGAAGCAAAAATGGGTGGTGTGGGTGGGTCCTGGGGACATTCAGCAATGTCTTGTAAGGCATCTGCCCTAGGCGATGCCCCATGCAATGCCCCTGGCAATGTTACAATCGCTGCCCTGGGTGATGTCTCAGACAAAGACTCTTCAGCCACAGCTGGATTAAAACCATCAGAGGGGAGTGAGAGGGCTCTTTGTGTTGGCAGGAGTGATTCAGTGGAGTTTAGAGGTTCAATGTCCCCACCTTCCTGATTATCTGCCCTTATGTCCCTATCTCAAAGTTCAGGATCCCATTTCTTCCCAATCCATACCCTCACTTTAACTTCAGACACAATTCGAGGTTTGGAATTCATTTGGACTTATTTGGACTCTTAGAATAAGACTCTGGGTTTGGTTTTCGGCAATATCAGTTCTAATGCTACAAGAAGTAGGGCTTTCTTTCAGGGCACAAGTGGCAACTTTCAGGTCTTTTATGTGGCACTTGAGCTGTGACTCTGAAGCCCTGAGCCCATCTCTTTATTTTTTTAAATTTTATTGTGTTTTAGGTGAATATTGACAGTGCAAAGTAGTTTCTCATACAAAAATTTATACACAGATTGTTTTGTGACATTGGTTGCAGTCCCCACAATGTGTCAGCACCCTCCCCTTTTTCCTTTCCACCCCAGTTTCCCGAGTCCATTCGTCCAGGTTTCCTGTCCCTTCCTGCCTTCTCGTCTTTGCTTTTGGGAAAGTGTTGCCCATTTGGTCTTGCATGCTTAATTGAACTAAGAGGCATATTCTTCACATCTGTTATTGTTTTATAGGCCTGATTTTCTTCATTCTTTGTTCTGAACATATTGGGACCAATAGATGTATTTTAGATGGCTGCTTGCAAGCTTTTAAGACCCCAGATGCTACTCACCAAAGTAGGATAGAGAACATTTTCTTTATGAGCTATCTTATGCTAATTGATTTAGATGTCCCCCGAGACCATGGTCCCCAGCCCTCAGCCCCAGTAACTCGGTCCCTCAAGGTGTTTGGATGTGTCTAGGAAGCTTATATGACTTTGCCTTGATGAAGTTGTGCTGACTTTTCCTATATTGTGTGTTGTCTTTCCTTTCACCAAAGTTAACACTTCTCTATTATCTAGTTAGTAATTTCCCCTACCTAGCCCTACCCTCCCTTGTAACCATCAAAGATTATTTTTTTCTGTGTGTAAACCTTTTCTTGGATTTTTATAATAGTGCTTTATGTGATCATGTGATTCTTTTATTTATGTAGTGGATTATGCTGATTGATTTTCCAATGTTGAACCATCCTTGCGTACCTGGTATGAATCCTACTTGGTCATGGTGTGTTATTTTTTTTATATGATACTGAATTCTATTGGCTAGAATTTTGTTGAGAATTTTTGCATCTGTATTCGTGAGAGATATTGGCCTGTAATTTTCTTTTTTTGTGGTGTCTTTGCCTGGTTTTGGTATGCAGGGTTATGCTGGCTTCATAGAATGAAAGTATCCTTTCCTTTTCTATGTTCTGAAACAGTTTGAGTAGTACTGGTATAAGCTCTTCTCTGAATGTTTGGTAGAATTCTCCAGTGAAGCCATGTGAGCCAGGGTTTTTTTGTTGTTGGGAGTTGTTTTTTTTTTTTTTTTTTTTTTACTACCTTTTCAATTTCTTCTCTTGTTATGGGTCTGTTCAGATTTTCAACATCAATTTGGGTAGGTGGTGTGTTTCTAGAAATTTGTCCATTTCTTCTAGATTTTCAAATTTGTGAAGTATAGTTTTTCATAATACTCTGTTATGTTCCTTTTTATTTCAGTTGGGTCTGTTGTCATGTCACCCATTTCATTTCTTATTTAGGTTATTTGTGTCCTCTCCTATTTTTCTTTTGTCAATTTGGCTAGTGGTTTGTCAATTTTGTTGATCCTTTTAAAGAACCAACTTTTGGTTTTGTTGATTTTTTCTATACTCTATTTCATCTATTTTTGCTGTGATCTTTATTCTTTCCTTCTGGTGGCTGTAGACTTCTTTTGCTGTTCTCTTTCTGTTTGTTTGAGTTGTGTAGCTATTGTTTTGATTTTGTCCCTTCTTTTTTTTTTTCTTAAAGCAGTAAGATTAACAGAGGTTAAAATTATATTTATTGATAAGCCAAAGATCAACCCTAACCTTAGTAACAACACCAAACTGCAAAGTAGCTCTTGGTCAGAAGTGTGGAAGAGGGTGCATGGAAGGGTGAAGCTACACCTTGTAGTCTCCTAAGTGGTCTACTGGAGGTGATTTTTTTAAACTGCTAAACCGTATTAACTCATAATAAAAGTAACTAGTCAAAATTTAAAACATTCTGATCAAAATGGGTCTCAACATGCCTTTCAAAGCATAACTGGTCATAGTCAGGAGGGAACTGCTCGCTGCAAATTGGGCACACCTTCCAGTGACTTACAACGTGTTCTTCAAACTTGCTCTGATCATAGTTGGGAGGGAACATTAAGTCACAGAGGGGACACTTCTTGTGAACATCAAAGCTGGAATCAAAGCAAAAGCCTGTTCCATGCCCGTGTAAATGCTGACTTGGAGGATCAGGAGCAGTGGGTACATTCTTGTCTTCTTTGCTATCCTCAGGGTCTTCTAAATCATCAGGCCGACTAAGGTTTCGAGCAGGTTGGCTGCAGACAACATTGTCTTCCAGTCCCCAAGAGTGTACTCTAACAGGTGGCCTCTGAATTTCATCTGGATAAAAAGCACCATCTGCTCCATCTCTTGTTTCTTGTGCTGCATAAGGATTACCATACTGCAGAACTGGTTGTTTATTTGGCACTGCAGGAACATGACCATTTTGCTCTGAGCATGTGTTGAGACATTGTGAGACCTGCTGTGGACTCTGGGAATTCTGACCTTCCATTTTTCTTTCTGCTTGATTTTCTAGACTCCTTTTAATTTCCTTCTCCCTGGAGATGTTATCCAAGTGTGAAGTTAGACCATTTATTTCTTTGTCTTTCTTTGCCAACTGAAGTTTATAATTGTCTTCTACTTCAGCTAGTTCTAGTTTAACACTTTCAGCAATTTTCACTTGTTCTTTCCATTTCAGCTCCATTTTTGCAAGTTCATCAGCGTATTTATAGCATTTTGTTTTCTCATCCTGCAAGAGTTGTTTACATTTTTTATACTTTTCTGTTTTTTCAGCAATTTCTTTGGTCATTTCACAGGCTTGCCCCTTTGTTACCATGTCAAACTCGGTCTCAGCTGCGGAAGCAGTAGTAACTGGGTCTGTGTTTATTGAGGCATCATTCGCTTTCTGCTGACTCCCAATTTTCTTTGTGAGGACACTATTATTATTGGCTGATTGGTATGAAAGTGTATTTAGTTGTTTCTGGAGTCTCTGATATTCTTTGAATTTTTCCTTATAATGGTCTGCCGCCATCTGAAGACAGTTTCAGATCTTCAGCTTCTCTTCTCAGCTCGTGTTCCAGTGTATCAGTCTTTTCCTGATTTTTTTTCACAGAATTCAGTTTAAGTTCTGCCACTGCATCTGCTAACTGCTTTTTTACTTTCTCATTTTCCAAACGTGCAGTATGTAGATCTGCCATCGTCTTATCTCATACATTGACAGCATCACTAAGCTCTTTAGCCAGAAAGACAACTTCTTGCCGAGTTGCCTGAACCTGTTCCTCTGCCTTATGAAGTTGCTCCTTTAAAACAAACGTACCTTCCTTATTTGAAGCGATAAGCAAAAAAGCCCTGTGAAGATTTTCCTTTTCAGCCAAACAGAACTGCAGTCTACCATTCTCTTCTTTGACATGAGTAATCACGCTTTATTTGTTCCCATGTAAATTCTTTAAAGTCTGGACCTCTGACACAAGCTTGGTAATTTCTATTTCTGTGTTCTTCAAATGTACCTTATAAAGTTCCTTCTCATCCTTTTCTGTCTTTAACTGACTTTCAAGTTGTTCTCTTTCATGTTGTACCTTCCTAAGCTTGTCTTTCAAGCTGTCTAGTTACGTTTCTTTTTCAATTGCTTTATGTGTCACTGACACAATATCTTCTTCAAGTTGGAGAGCTTTGGATGTAGCATCACTGCATCTCTTCTTCAGCTCTTCATTTTCCATTTTTAAACTTTTGATACTTCAATAAGACCCTTTTGCTCTGCTTGTAGTTGGTCACATTTTTCTTTCTCCTTATTAAGTTCACTTTCCATTCTTCCAACTTGTTCTCGAAGTTGTGTTGTTTCTTTTTCCAGAACAACAATTAGCTTTAATAGTTCGTCTTTTTCTTTCATGGTTTTCTCAATTTTCAACGCAAGAAGGCCAGCTTTTGTGGTCATCACCAACATGTCAGAATTTCCTTCATCTTCCATAGTAAGCAATTCTTCAACTGGAGAAGAAGCTCGAAACTGGAAAGGTGTACTTGCTGCACGTATTTCACCCTTATGGGTAGCATAACAGAACTGATAAAATTCTCCATCATCATTTGGAAGGTAATATCCTTGAAATGCTAGAACACAATTGACTGTTGATCCTTCTACATAATGTTCAGGCATAGGGGACCATAAAAATGTATAATAATCACGAGCAGTACTCCATCCAACCTTGAATATACCAACCCAATCTTTTGGATGTGGATGGATATGTGCAGTTAAGGTGTAATGACATTCCAGGTGTGCATTAGGAAGATAACTCTTGGCCACATTTTGAAAGATAACATGTGCAAAGTTGGACATGTGCAATGGGACTTCTTGAAAGGATGTCATTGTGTATCTTTTGAGGCTGAAGCAGCTTGGCTTCTTGTGTCCCTTATCTCTTCAGCTTCTGCATCCTATGGCTTCTCGGCCCTTGGGCCTCATGCCCCATCTGCCCTGCTGGGGCAAGTGTTCCAAAGCTCAGTAGCTCCACCAGTAAGCGCCCTGAGACACCCCACTCCTCCAGAAAGCCTCATGCACACAGACACTCAGCTCTCTCGCTCCGTGGGTCGGCAAGCCTAGCTCCACTGATAAGTGCCCAGAGGCACCCCACTCCACCAGGAAGCCTCCTGCTTACAGGCATTCAGCTCTCTCGCTCCGTGGGTTGGCTCCAGCGCTGTCTTTCACCGGTCTGCTGGTTCTGCTGCTGTTGGTTCTCTGCTGCTGCTGCTTCTCTACTGCTGTAGGTTCTCTGCTGCTGCTGGTCCTCTGTCACTGCCTCACATCTATCCATTCACAGTTTTAAAACCACTTCCACATTTTAGGTATCTGTTAGAGCAGCACCCCACTCTCTCAGTACCAAATTCTGTCTTAGTCATCTAGTGCTGCTACAACAGAAGTACCACAAGTGGATGGTTTTAATGAAGAGAAGTTTATTTCCTTATAGTCAAAGTAGGCTAAAAGTCCAAAATCAAGGTGTCAGCTCCAGGGGAAGGCTTTCTCTCTCTTGGCCTTCTCATCAGTGTTCCCCCAGACAAGGAGCTTCTCGGCGCAGGGACCCCAGTCCAAAGAACGTGCTCTGCTCCCAGCACTGCTTTCTTGATGGTATAAGGTCCCCCCGTCCCTTCTTTTTTGATGGGTGCATCTATTGCTATAAATTGACCTCTAAGGACTGCCTTTGCTGTGTCCCAAAGGTTTTGGTTTGATGTGTTTTCATTCTCGTTTGATTCTAGGAATTTTTTTTATCACATCTTTGATTTTTTCTATTACCCAGTGGTTTTTAAGCAGGGTATTATTTATTTTCCATGTAGTTGATTTTTTTTTCCTTGCTCTTCCTGTTGTTAATTTCTACCTTGATGGCATTGTGGTATTATCTCAATGTTTTGGATTTTGTTGAGGTTTGCTTTGTGGCCTAAGATGTGCTCTATTCTGGAGAACATTCCATGTGCGTTGGAAAAGAACGTGTACTTAGCAGCTGTTGGGTGGAGTGTTCTATATATGTCTTTGAGTTTAAGTTGGCTGATTGTGGCCTTTAGATCTTCTGTATCTTTGTTGAGTTTCTTTCTAGATGTTCTGTCCTTTGCCAAGAGTGGTGTGTTGAAGTTTCCTACTATTATAGTGGAACTGTCAATTTCTCTTTTCAGTGTTGTTAAAGTTTGTTGTACATATTTTGGAGTCCTGTCATTGGGTGCGTAGATATTTATTATGGTTATGTCTTCATGATGGATCATCCCTTTAATCATGATATAGTGCCCTTCTTTGTCTTTTATGGTGGATTTTATTTTAAAGTCTATTGTATCTGAGATTAGTATTGCCACTCCTGTTCTTTTTTTGGTGGCTTTTTGCTTGATATATTTTTTCCATCCTTTGATTTTTAATAAATGTATGTCTTTATTTCTAAGATGTATCTCTTGTACACAGCGTATTGATGGATCCTGTTTTTTAAATCCATTCTGTCACTCTCTGTCTCTTTATGGGTGCATTTAGGCCATTTATGTTCAGTGTAATTATTAATAGGTGTGAATTTATTGCTGTCATTTTGTAGTGCTTTTTTTTGTGGTGCTGACAATTACTTTGTTCATCTTACTCTCCTGTGCTGAATTCCTTTTGTTTGTGGATTTTTTTCGTTTCTTTTGTTTTTGTAGATTTTGTTTTTACTGAGACCTTAATGTTTTTCTGTCTTTTGATGAGTAGGTTTGTTAACTTCTTTGTGGTTACCTTGAAATTTACCCTTGTCTTCCTAGGTTTGGACCAGTTTATTATTACCTGGTATTGCCTTTCCTTCCTCTCCATTAGAAAGTTCTATACCTACACTGCTTATTCTCTCTTTTATTGTTCTGATGTTGTTGCCGAGTAATCAGAGTTTAGTCTTATTGTTTCTTCTCTGTATGTGACTTTTCATTTTTCTCAAGCTGCTCTCAGCATTCTTTCTTTGTCTTTGGTTTTAGTGAGTGTGATTATGATATGCTTTGGTGATTTTCTTTTGGGGTCTATCCTATATGGGGTTCATTGAGCTTCTTGGATGATATTTCCTGATATTTCATCCTTCCTAATATTAGGGAAGTTTTCTGTCAACAATTCTTCAGTGAACCTCTGTGTTTTCCATTTTCTCCCCGTTCTGGAACTCTGATCACTCGAAAATTTTTGCTTTCGATTGTATCCTACATAGTTCTCAGGGTTTCTTCATTTTTCTTTGTTCTTTTTTCTAATTTTTCCTCAAAGTTGTAGCAAAGTGTTTGTCTTCAGTTTCGCTGATCCTGTCTTCCATCATTTCAAACCTGTTCCTCAGCCCTTCTGTGACACTGTCCATTTCTGAAATCTTGTTGTTTATCTTTTGGATTTCTAATTGTTGTTTTTGTATGATTTCTAGTCGTGAATTTATTTTGGCATTTTGTTCTTGTATTATTTTCCTGAATTCTTCCATTTTTTTGTCGGTATTTTCCATGAATTTGTCTGCCTTTTCCATGAATTGTCTATTTTTTTCCTCATGTTTGTCTGCTTTTTGATTCAACTCTTGGATATCTCTGAATATTAGAGATTTGAATTCCCTATCAGGTAGGTCTAGTGCCTTCTACTGGAAAGTCATCTGATGTTTTATTTTGGATGCCTACTGGAACCATCTTGTCCTGTTTTTTTTTAATATGTTTTGATATTGTCTGCCATCTTCGGGACATTCAGTAGTTAGTTTCTTCGTTATTGATTGTAGATTTATTTGTTTTGTCCTGTTTTTTTGTTTTATTTGGTTATGTCTGAGCAGATGGGCCCTGCATTCTTTGTTGTTTGCTCTTCTGTGGACACGATATTTTTCACTTCCTTGTCCAATGGGCAGGGCCAGTCACTGAGCTATGGTGCAGCAGGGCAGGTCCAGCTGAAGGGGAGGGTCTGGGATGGGTTGTTTGTGGCACGTACTGGGGCCAACAAGGTGAGCTGGGGGTTAGTGCAGGGCAGGTTCCGGTAGGCCATGCCTGTGCTGCTTGGGAGTGCAGTGTTTGGCACATGGTGCAGATAGGCAGGAGGGAGGAGGAGGGGGAAGTTGTGATGTGTGGAGCAAGGTTGAGTATGGAAAAGAAGAGAGAGAGGAGAGACAAACAGGAGCAAAAAAAAGTGGTGAGGGGTGGAGAGACAAAAAACCAAGAAATGAAGAAAAACAAAAAGGAAAAAAAACTTAAAAAAAAATGCCCCCAGGGATCTTACCTGCGCGGCTGTGCAGATCGGGGAAGCAGCTCCCAAGCCGCGCAGTACAGCCCAGCTAGAAAGGGTGGAGATGATACACAGTGCCAGGTATTCAGAAGACAGGAAAACAAGGTAAGCAGAAAGAGACAAGAAATGAAGAAAAATAAAAAGGAAAAAAGAAAGAGAAAACAAACAAAAAAAGAGAAAAAAAAAGCCCCCAGAGATCCCAGCATGGCTGCGCAGACCAGGGTTCCCTAGCTGAGCGGCACTTCACAGCCTGTCAAGAAGAAATAGAGATGGCACATGGAGTCAGGTATTTGAGAGAAAAGAGGAGGAGGAGGTGAGAAGCAGTGAAGAAACCAAAAGAGGTAAAAAAAAAAAAAAAAAGCAACACCAGAAACAAATGGCAGTGAAAAAGCCAGCTGGTGTGGGTGGGGAGAATCCTTGCGGCACAGAACCAGTATCTCCTGTGCCGTGGTTGAGACCCACCGGGAAGCAGCAGATTGGCCCACGGGGAAGCCCTGGATCGGCCCGCTTGGGAGCAGTGAATTGGCCCTCTGGGAAGCCGGGAATTGGCCTGCTGGGAAGCCAGGAATCAGCCCACCAGGAAGCAGCAAATCGACCCTCTGGGAAGCAGCGAATTGGCCTGCCAGGAAGCTGGGAATCAGCCTGCCAGGAAGCCGCGGATCAGCCAGCTAGAAAACAGCGAAGGCTGAGCAGGGGGAGGCAGGATGGGGATGGGAAAGCATGTCTTGCTGATTACCAGGTGCTCTGTCTCCTGCTGGGAGCTCTGTGAATCTGCTTTCCCATACTCCCTGTCTGCTGATCTCTGCCAGGAGTCCAAGATGGTGGATTCATGCTGTGTTAGCTGATAGGGGATCTCTGCTTGTAACTCTCCTCGCTCTCTGTTTTCTGTCAGTTTCTTATTCCATTCGGTGCTTGGTTGAGTTCTTTATCTCTTCATTTGACACTTAGGGTTCCAGGATTGATCTTTGTCTCTGTTTTACTTAGTTTTTCAGGTCTTTGCTGTGGAGGGATGTCGTGGTACTTCTGTCTGTAGTGCTATGTTGGCTCCACCGGTCCTCTCTTCATGGAAACATTGTCACTGTGTGTCTTACTATTTTGTAGGCAGAGAAAACCAACCAAGAGGCCTGGTGATGAAGAAATTTCTGCAAATGGGGGCCATAAATATGATTACAGAGACTGGAAACTGGACAGGGCATGGTGGCTGGAATTCTAAAATCTCTTCTCTTTCGTTCAGCACTTTGTCTAGTGAAGGTGGGGCCAACGAACCAGCTTCCTTATACCTCTTATTCTGACAAAGTAGTAGAGAAGAATCAAATATGCAATCACCCAGAGCCTTGTTTCTCACAAATATTTGATCCATTGGTGGTGATATTTTGCCTATTTCTATTGCCACCTCATGCCATGGATTAGCAGTGCCCTCTTAACTATTGGAGGCAGAGTCATCAGCGCCTTTAAGACTAGCTAGACTTGAGAACCAATTCAGAGAAATCATCTTTATGATTTTGTTCCTCTAGAGCCACTCTCTGTCCCAAATGTCTTAGGCTGGGTTCTCTAGAGGGGCAAAACCAGTGAAGCTTCTATGTATAAATATATATAGATTTATTTATTTCAAGGAAATGGCTCATGCAGTTGTGAAAGCTGGCAAGTCCCAA